CAAGGCAATATAGTTTCTATACATGTTTTGATGATAAATATCAAGTATAGATAAACCAAAGCTTCTTACTGATTCTTTAGAATGATTCGAGCTAAAATACGACTAAATAGTAATTTTGTGTCAGTTAGGTACGAAAGTTTATGGATAAGACTCTATCAACAATGATTACTAAAACATTAGTGTCTAGCAAATGAGCACTGGTAAATTGACAAGAAATCAAATAAAAATGACTTATGAAGTTAATCGATTCAAAAGTAATACAATGTCTATCTGATATCACTAGAAACGTATCATATTAATGCATTTGTTAACCAAGGCTAAAAATGTAGGAAACTAAATTTCAATCATAAGAAACCGTGCCAGACGGGCGATTTGAAGGCGATGGATACGCATCGTCGTGAAGCCCCTAAATATAATTAAACAAGTCTCCAGTGCCTCTTTTTCATAAATCGCAAGAGAACAGTCAACTACTAATGTTGGGTAACTCCTACAATAGTTAGTACTCACGATCTAATGGTTGCAAGCTAAGTGTTGTAACCACTAAGCCATCTTCCCTATTTCAAACGAACAGTCTGTGATATAGCATATTTCCCGTCACTGAACAATCAGACCTAATAATGGGATTGATCAATAATGGTCTTTAGCCATCGACATTGTCTGCTGTCATGTCACAAGCAAAAGTTAAGTCAAAAGTGTCAACTTCTGAATGCGGTTCAAGTTTAGAACTCCTCAAGTGTTCAGTAACCATTGGTTTTTATGAGCTTTTAGGCTGACATAAGTGTGTTTGAAGGAACCTACTTTTATCGAATTAAACAAAGTTTTATCAAATAAAAAAAATCTTAGAAATCCAATCTTACAATTGGCAAAACTTCCAGTATATATACAGATGCATAAAAATGTTGGCTGACGGGTTTCTTTAGCTTATATTTAAAAACAAGAAATAAATGATTGATCTCCATTACTTAATTGTAGTTTCATTCTTTGAGTTGAATGATTTAATCATGGAACTTTCACTATTTTTTTGGACAATACCTCTAGCATATAGTTCAGCTAGAAATGAGCTATTCTATCTCCTCCCCTTCAGTCTGAATTTTGTGCTAAGAATGTTGTTCAAAAAGACAACGAAAACTTCATGATTGAACCACTCACCTCAGAGAACGAAACTCTTCATAAATCGTCAATGTAAGCTACAAATCCCTACTGTATCTCTTACTGATAATACAACAATTATTAGTACTCCAATTCAACATCATAATCCTATAACAAATGAAAAAGTAGAGAATGCTTTAAAAGTTAACAGTTATACAACCAATGATAACCCTATTAAACATCCTAAGCTTTTAATAAAAATTGCAAATTTCTCATGCAAATATTAATTAATGAGTTGAATATGGTAAGTTTCCCATGAAAAAAAGTATTTGTGTATTAAAAGGAAGAACGAGAGAGGGAAAAAGAAAGAGAAGGATTTATTTTCTCATATTGATGATTTTATGTTAATTAATCAACTTTTTAATCATGAAATGAACTGATTAATTTGTTACTTCATTCAATGATAGATAATGAGTTTCCTATGTAGAACGTGGGTTCATATTTATCGGATATTATTAATATTATCATTGTTATGGAAAGTATCTATTTCTACATAAAGGTACATGATAGTAGGATCAGTTTCCAGGGTTTTTTTTCAATACTTTCAGTTGTGATCATAATGGTTTCACTGCAATCAATTCTGGTCATAGTAATTGCAGTAGTTAGATAGTTTATTATTTTCTCCTTCATTGGTTCTTTTCTTTCATGACCCCTTCTCCCAAGTAAATTAAGTCAATAAATCCTTTAATAAACTAAATATGTGAATTGTTACACTTTATTTTCCTACTACCATAACCTCTTCTTTTCTCTTACCACACCTTATCTGCTTCTCTCTTTACTTCATACTACACTAGTTTATGTTTTGTAGCTAATTCGTTTATTATGTACATATGTGAACTCCTACTACTATACTCAATCATCCTACCACTTAACTTATTTAAACATGCTGTTACAATGAGCTGACATAGTTACTTTCTATTCTTATCACTGATATGTATATTTCCTTTTATTCAGATGAACGAAAATTAGTGAGATAAAAAGTATTCACGTATAACAACCAATTTAACTATTTATTCAACTGTATGTCTAATTGTAGAGAAAGACAATTGTTAAATAAATAACAGAACTGTTTTTATCGTTTAAATTTACTAATTAAAAATGGGGGATATAACAAAAAACTGATAATATCACTCATTATTCACATACAAGGACAGTTTACAAGCATACTTTATTCATAGATTCTATTTTAACTAACATTAACAGCCATTATATCATAGTATATTTTACCCTTGTTTAGTACAAAAAGAAATCAGGGAAATGAAGAATATCATATTACACAAATAATGAGGAAAATTCACAATTTCTTGATATATTCCATTATGAAGTGAAATTTGAGGGTTAATGAATAAATAACGTAGTTGTTATACTTACATACCTTACAGTAAAGAACACTTCGGAAATCGATTTCAGTGTTTAACTACTTACTCTGACTAATCATCGTTATCATCTTTTTGTTTGTAACAAAATTATAAGTTGGTTCAGGAAAACTATCGAATACTGATTAACATATCATTAAAATATGATTACTTGTATTTTAGCATCATTCCGAACCAGTGGAAATAGCCTAGATACTTTCACTCTTTATTTTCCTCTAAGTTCTGAAGTTCAACATGATTATATTTTACTCATTACCTGAATTCAACAATTCTACTGAAACCGTGTCATTCGATATTTGTTCTTTCACATTATAATTGACAGTACTGTTATTTCGTCTCTTTCGCTGTCTTTCTTGGGCACTTTATCTTGCTGTACAAATGTGTTATATCAACATGGGCCGATGTACATCTAAAATACACAAAGCTATGAACTCATATCTCATGCTTCTTATGAGATTAACGTTGAGACTAAACTGTTTTTATAAGTATATAACTCTGTTCAATTTGGTATTCGACAGCTGGCAACCCCTATAAAGATATGAAATAGATCAACTTAAGTTGCAAGATAGTAATTTAGATAATACAAATCCATGAATGTGATTCTTATCATCTTCTTTGCATTACTGTAAAAATGAACAAAAAACCCTCCTTTTTATATCTGAGTAATTTCACTCAAACAAACTATTCCTCGATAGGTGTATAACATAATTTAAAATGATTTGGAAGTACTTATTGTACAAATCTAATAAATACTTATTGGTTTAGAGGTTAAGCGTTCACGCGCGAGATCGATAGGTCCTGGGTTCGAATTTCGAGGGGTGGAATCGTGGATGTGCACTGCTGTGGAGTCCCATAGTAGGACGAAACGGCTGTCTAGTTCTTCCAGGTTTCCTATGGTAGTCTGGCTTTAAGTGACTCATGAACTCAACTATTAAATTACTACAATATCCACAAAAATCTCTTCTGAAAATACTTATTTATTTATTTACTATTTTCTAACTATTTGTGTGGTCCATCGAGTGGAATGAATTAATTTCAATTTGACATGGAAATTTACTTACAAACATTTATTACTATAACATAAATAAGAAAACAACGAACATAGAAAACCTTTTTTTTAAAAAGAAGTTGTAATATAAGTAGTATGTATTCACTATCATTCACCTAGTTTGTTTATTTTTATCACTTCCACTTAAAAACATATTTTACTATTTTTGTGATAGACTTTTTAAAAATTTCTGACTAAAACTAGTCATATTATATCTCAACTATTTATGTACTACTTATGTGTTTTAAATAGCCTATGTTATTGTTTTAGAAGGTAAATTGAAAACTTATATAAATAGATATGTCACTTGATTCAATATACACTTTACCATTGTTATTATTTTGAAAATTGTGAATACATCAATTGATTTTGAAGTATATATGAAGTGGGTTCTAATTGTTCAATTTTATTGATAAGGGTTGTACAGCAATGAATTGATAGCACAATTTTGTATGCAGTTTAAGTATATATGATAATGAATGATTATTACATAGTTATCTTCGTGACTCCATCTTTCACAGTACTACTTTAACATAAAAAATCTATGTTTCTGCCATAAATATATTGACGTGACTGAAACAATCTCATGTTTTATACAGCATATGTTTAGTAGTTATTGAATGAAAAGAAAGGAAGTTCTTATATTATCTTGTTAATCAAAACAAAAATGATATCCATTTCTTCTTTTTGATATCACAACGCAATTTAGTCTACAGAAAAGTTCATAATGGCTCAAGGAACCATCAATTTTCTTTTATTCAGGTATTATGTAATTTTTCCCAGTTCATGAAAGTATAAATATTTGTTAACTAAGGATCAGTTACCTAATGATCTATCTAATAATGTCTAATTAAACATTGAATATTATGTTCAGTCAATCTTTTTATGTAATATAATAAATTTGTTTACAAATGATTGCAAACAAAGTCAGAATATTCTGTTGGTTATCTCTATCAATATAACATGGCAACTAAGTACACCATTTGATTGACTCATCACTAGATATTTTTTGTCATTATGGATTGAACTATGTGGGGAGATTTAGTGGTTAAAAAACTGGTGACTACTAACCAATTGCTCATAGTAACAAATCGCGCCAGATACACAAATAATCTAATTACTCCTTACACAAATATTATGGCTTTTAACCTTTCACTTTGCAAATCAAATTTATTGCTCAAGATTAAGCTTGACATATGATATTACTTATTAGTAATACTCAGTGATATTGCTCAATTAGTATATTTAGATAGTGTAATAAGAATATAAAGATTACCAGAACTATGTGATATATTAGAGCAATACATTTCGAAAAATCTAACCATACATACCTACTAAGAAAATTTATATATAGAAACAAAAGGTCAACTAGACAAATGGAAGGGATAAGGACATAAAGATAATCAAGAAAATAACGTGAAACTCACCACGTTAGATATTTAACTAATATTACCAGAGTTTGTTTAAGGTGCGAACAATGATAAACGAACTACCTGTAACAATAAGAACAGTAGTTCAGTAACTCCATTTTGACTACAGATTAATAAACCATTGAATGTTTAACCATTCTTTAGAACATATCTCCTTATATTTGAAAAAAAGAACACTGAGTTCTGTACAATAACTGAACAAGTGTGCTGAGGGAAGCAATATGGTGCACAAAAATCTTCGATCTGTTTATTTAATCATTTAAATTTACATATGTAACTAATCATAACTTGTTAATTCTTTAGGTAAACAACAATGTATCCTGTGACTTACGAATTAGTATATTTTTTTTCTCCATAGATTATGTACTTAAGTGTTGTTTAGACAATAACACTAATGATAATTATAGTTAAAATAATCCAGACACTTCATGAAAAGAACAATACTTAATAATGTCAGGTCATTCATACAATAAATAGGTAATTGGTTGTTAAGCCTTTTCAAATCAATCCACTTAAACTTATAAACTTGTTACCATTGGTATAATTTACAATCATAATTAGAATGAACTTAAGTTTGTTTTAAAAGAATTCCAACTCTTTTTCTAACTGAATTGAACAAATTTTTTTTTCTCGCGTTTTTGTTCAATTTGAATATCATACAAACACTGAAAAAAGCTTGAATATGTAATGGAAGGTTATTTTTAGTTTCTAAGACTACAATGAACTTCTATAAACCTAAATCTTAGCTATTCGTGTACAGAAACGACTTGTCGTAACCTTGAATTTGCCTTAGTAATCCCTTAAACCATTTTATGGCTTAGGGTAGTGCGACAATCTCCTGTTCTTTCCATACGATATTAATTTTCTCTCTCCTTTATTTACAATGGTCACTCTGTTCACTTGAACTTTCTTTTAGTTGATCTTTACTAATTTTCATATATATGTGACCAGATTGTTGGAAAGATATAGCACAAATATATCACATTTTTCAGAACAACTCCGTCTTCTCATTGTGCTATCAAAATTTATTAATGGCATTAATTGCTATGGACTTACAATTAGCAAGAAACATAAGTCTAAGGATTCTCACGGATCGCCTTCATTTTATATTATGGTTTATCCTAAAAAATCTACTAAATATGTGGATAGAGAACAGAGTTATATGCTTTCTGTTGGATAGTTCCTGTATTTATTTTAGCTTAGAATTTTCTTTTTCTTACTAATTAATTAAATAGCTTTACTGATTATTCTGAATAAAAGATATACAATTATCTTTATATGAAGATATGTTTTGGAAATTTTCCAATGCTGTACATTTCAAAACAGATATGTGGTAGTACTCATATTAACGATAATAATCACATCGATAATAATTGTTCTGAATTGATATTAATGCTTACTGTTCAGTATATGAGAATGGTAGATAAACATGTAGTATGATAAACGAAATATTCTGCATACAGAGTAAATGATAAATGGCAATTGATAGATATATATCACTCTGTTGTTGTTACTCTCCTCTCACTAATAATGACAATTATACAATGATTCGTATGTATATGATATTCTGTGATATGATCAAAAATAAATCATGAGAGTATACAAGATGCAAAACAAACAAAGAAATAGGACAACAACTATCTATTACTAAACAACAATGAACACAAACAAGTAATCTGTGAGAGTAAAAGATTAAATTAGATTTTCTACTAACTGATGGACGAATTAATGTAACTAAAATAAATAAATAAATAATAATCAGTGCATTTCGTTTGGTTTTATTCGATATTCATTAAATTACTGTTGTTGTTTTCTCTCTAAAAAAACTTTTCTTCTTTGACTGGAATACGTAAGAGAAAGAAATAAAGTTTTTGATAATTTCTATTCATAGTTGGTTGATTAAACAAAGTTTAATTTTGTTTGAATTAATTGTAAATTACCAGAAGGGGTTTTATGGAGATTTTAAAAATTTCAATAGTTGACATCATGAGTCAATTGAAGGTAGACCCCTTCTGATAATAATCATCTTCTCACTAGTGACTGAATTCAAGGGGCATTTCCTGGAGTTCTGGTGACAAGCCATAACCAGTGGAGTTCAACCAGGTCTGTTGTGAGAAATCAACTCACTGAAGACAATAGTGTACGGTGGCGCAATTTCGTGGATTGATTGAAGTTAGACATTAACACCGTTGGGTACCGGCTATGTGGTTTGACGGTTAAGCGCTCGCGCACAAGACTAATATTTCCTGGGTCCGAATCTTGCGGGGAGCGGGATCGTGAATATACACTGCCGAGGAGTCCCATACTAGGACAAAATGGCCGTCCAGTGCTTCCAGGTTTCCCATGGTGATCTAGCTTCAACTGACTCATGATTTCAATAATTGTAAATTGTCTACAAAATGTTAATAATTAAAAGAGAATCTTTATTCATCTATTATGTGATATGACAAGCAGTCAGTGGTTATTTCATGACCATTTCTATTTGTAATAGTTTATTTCTGAACTGTGAATTAACTCTAAACATTTTTATGTTGGGGAAATACTTTCTGTATATAGGAATAATAATAATAATTTCTCAATATGTGGTCAATTGACCTGTTTGTTTGCTTTTGAAAATTATCTACACATTGGAAATTCGCTTATTGATTCCAGAATCAAACTAATTTAATTCATTCATTGATTAGGACGTCCAATGTATATGGATATATTAAAAAGAGAAGAACTGAAGGAAGAAGGGTGAGAGAAGGTTTCAGCAACAATAATGAATATGCAATGCTTAGTCCAATAGACTGTTACCAAAATTATTATTTTATCTGTGTTCTTCTCGTATCATGATATCAATGTAGTTTTTAACAGTTGATAGGCATATTATATATCTGCTTTAAAATTACAATGGTTCTATATTTACAGTTCATATATATTAAGACTATGAAATGTTCAACCAGTAAATTACTGTAGATTTAGTCGTCTTTCATTTTGTAAATACAATGTACAGCTTATCTGTAATACTAAAGAGACTTTCACCTGCGAGATTTTAAATTATATTGTTTGATGTTGTATTTAAAGTATGTTATGGATAATATGTGATTATTTACTTGAGTATATCGTTTGGCTTTATTTGACAATATTTGTTTAACTGCACCAACACTGTATTGTATGCTACTTATGTCTGTCAACATAACTAGTTACGACCAGAAAACATTAAATTTACAACTGTCGAAGTAAAAAAACAGTGTCAGTTGTTTAGTTCCGTTAATTGGTCTTTAACAAACTCTCACATGTTGTGATTTTATTTATTCTTCTCTTTTCTTTTGCGAATTGATAATGTTAATGACTGATAGTGTTCTGGGAATTTAAAACACCTCTGTTTTCTAGTTTTGTACATGTATATAGGCTTCTTTTTATTACAGTTTATGAAGTGTTAAAACAAATTAGTTTATGAACGTAATATTTACTGCTTTTTTCATTCAATATCCTATATATAATTTTTATGACTGAATAACCCTACAAAGTATATTAAAAATATAGGAACATAAAGATAACATGTAGAAATATGACAAGAAAATGTAGGATTTTGTTTAAGTCTTATTAAATATTTTAGGTGAAAAGATCACATAAATTTTTGAGTGATCTTTATCACGTATCGATTTAATTCAGGATACCAGTGAAAATGAGGTGGGAATGAATGATCGTTGAGTCAAATAATGAAGTTAATTGAAATTCTATATGTATAAGATCAAATAACGACCCAGAGGTTAAGTGTTCACTGCGAAAGCTAAATGTCCTCTATCTGATGGCTGACTCGGTCATGGGTATGCACAGATAAATAATTCAGAGCTAAATATCTAACAAATGTAGGTTTCTTGAAGGAATGAGTTAGATTAAAAAGTTTATTAAAATGCATCAAAAATTTCCTTCTTAGGATTCAGTTTATTTCCGCCTCTGATTTTTGTAAGCTTGCTCTAAGGAATAGTAACTTTAAAAAAAAATAAAACAATGAGTTTTATGTTTCATCACGTTTTTTTCTCAGAACTGGTTTCTGTTAACAATTACCTAGTGAGATTTCAAAAAGCATAAGTAAATATGAGGGGGAGGGGATGGATTTCATTGTTAACCATTACTGAAATCTAGATTGATGAAAGTTCAGGGATATTATACAAAGTGGTCAAATGCTGTTAGCAGTTAATAAGTTTTAATTTAGGAAAACTTAAGGATAAAAAGTTAAACAATTTACATGTAATATCTTTCCAATAACAGACTGTCATAAGAACTCTGTAAACATAAAGATATACTTTAAAAATTCTAACATAGATTACTTTCAATCACAACCACATGAATGATCCATTACTTTGATTCTTCTGCTACTTTTTTTAAGTTTATTTACTGACGATTTCAACGGAATAACTCTTTCAAATGATAAAGTGTGAATTTTAAAATTGAATTGTTAAATAGAAATGTGATAAAATTAACAGATAAATGTACGAAAATTCGAAACTCATTGCATAGATTAGAACAATCGTAGTATTTCTCGACCTTAAAGCAGCATTCGACTCTGCTGATCGTGAGGTTCTATGGCAGTGTTTGTCATTGAAAGGGGTACCAAAGAAGTACATTAACCCCCTTGAAATGTAAAATGTTGCTTCGGGACTGGGTTGCATTGACACCCGAACTAATGATAGGGAGTGAAGTAGTTGAGTGTGTCGATCGCTTCACTTATCTTGGAAGTCTCATCAGCCCTTGCGGTCTGGTGTGTGACGAAATCTCAGCACGGATACAGAAGGCTCGACTAGCTTTTGCCAACTTGCGTCATTTATGGCGTAGGTGAGATATCCGTCTATCAACCAAAGGACGGGTTTACTGCGCAGCAGTTCGTTCCGTCCTTCTTTATGGCAGTGATACATGGCCGGTAAGAGTAGAGGATATTCGTAGGTTACTAGTATTCGATCATAGGTGTCTTCGAAATATTGCTCGTATATCCTGGGACCATCGAGTAAGTAACGCAGTTGTTAGGAAACGGGTACTAGGTAAGGATGGCAAATCAATTGATGAAGTAGTGAAACTTC